CGATTAAAACCGTGAGCTCCATACGCAGTTGAATTGACCAGACCGAAAGGATGCGTTATGGCAACTTAATCGTGCGGAACAGCCGTTGTCCAATTGTTGTTTTTTTTACTTTGAACTGTTTCCTGAAAACTACAACACACGGTGTCGCCAGTGCATCTAGGACGAAGAGACAGTAGAACACATTCTTTATAAAGGGCTATCGGGACAAGGATTTGATAAATTAAATAAATTATGGCTTTTACAGAGCGCTACTTTCATGCTTATAGCAGGCTCAGAGCGCTTTGGTACAATCTCATTTGTGGGGGAGGGGATATCTAGCTGCCTTCTGCCCGAGTCGGATGTCGAACTCCGAGCCCCCTTCATAGGTAGCCAGGCCCAAGCCAAGTTCAAGCGCATTTAGCCTCTCGACTAAGCCTAAGCCTTCCCACAGAGAGAGAACTGGTTCGTGTGCGGCATTAGGGCACTTAGAAACTACGTCCACTTGTCTGAAGAGTTTGATTTTATAATTTCCTAAACGTAAACGAACGCATAGCTTCAAAGTTTTGTTTACCCCCACACACACCTACACCACACAACCCCCACACACCCCCACACACACCCACACCCTAAACCCTCTTGATGTGCCTAAGGCTTTTGTTCTTGTTTACTTAACGATCGGAGGCGCTCGACTTCTGAAATGGGGGTTTCCTGGATCGAATCCTGGTGAGGACTGGGATTGTTAATTTTTACTATAGCTTTTTATATAGCGCTACTTTCATGCTTATAGCATGCTCAGAGCGCTTTTTGGTCCAATCACATTGGGTACCGGTGTGGAGGGGGTGGGGGAAGGGGTTTCTAGGAGTTGGTTTTCCGTGCTGTCTTTAGGCGCTCAGTAAACCCAACTCTGCCCGAGTCGGGTGTCGAACCTCGAGCCCCCTTCTAGGTAGCCAAGACAAGCCAAGTTCAAGCGCACTTAGCCTCTCGACCACGCTTCTCACATATTTCGGGATCTTTGGGCGCCTCTGAGTCCACCCAGCTATAATGGGTACCTGACATTAGTTAGGGAAAAGTAAAGGCGGTTGGTTGTTGTGCAGGCCACATAACAGCCTCGTAAACCGTAGGCCACAGAAACAGATGACCTTTACATCATCTGCCCCATAGACCACAAGGAAAGGGTAACTTTTACTTTACTTTACTAACTTAGGATCCGCTTTTGGCCTTTTGTTTATGTTATCAAGTATTAGAGAATAACTGACGTCAACAGACGAATCTTGGCTTCATACCATCTGGAAAGTCTTTCATTTTTTCAGCGGCGTATGTAGAGCCACTTACTTGTTAAAAGTCAGCGAACAACTGGAGACGTAACTGTACATTGCAGGAATCTAACTCTGCTTTACTTTAGCGTTAGAGTTATCCAACTTTAAGTTTTTATTTCCAGGAGTAAATGGCTTTATTCTTGTTTCATGAAAGTTATCATCAGATTCATTAAATCTCAAAGTGTTATGGCGAGAAACCAAATGTCATTTTCCTGCATTTTTGGCTGAAGAGTTCCAGCAAAATTTTTTTTCTATTCCTTTTTTATGCTTTTTTTGAGATACTGTTGCATTTTGATCCCATCGTAGGTCATTTGTATAGTATTATAATCACCAAGTTCCCCTTTCAGACCTTACGATTTATAGGGCATATGATGTAAAGGTCATCTGTTTCTGTTGCCCACGGTTAACTAGGATGTCATGTCGGCAGCACAACAGCCAGCCGCCTTTACTTTTATCAAGCTTACGTCATGTATCCATTAAAGCTGGGTGGACTCAGAGACGCCCTAATGATTCAGAAATCAAAAATCCCAATCTTCACCAGGATTCGAACTCAGACCACCACCACCCACCCACCCCTGGATCAGAAGCCAAGCGCTTTACCTCTTAACCACCCCCGCATTACTTTATAATCAGTCCCAGTGCATTGCGTTAGAATCACAGCAATCTTTAAACGTTTTCCTGGTTCTTTTTTACAGCCGACAAAAAGGCCTGGGCATGCGAAGGTATGCAAACAGTTCTAGTCTGTCATGAAGGCTCCATAAATGTAACCTCAGCCAGATATGGATTCTTCGGGCAAAATTGTAATCACGAATCGGAACACAGTGACATTGTTTGCTATGACAAGACAGCCAAGAAACATGTCTCGTACTTGTAAGTAGGTCACATGACTCCACACTAGATTGTTTATACAGCTATAAAAGCAGAGTTAGCATATGAGTTATTTCTGTTAATCAATTTTAAAACAAAAACGAAACAAAAAAAAAAACAGTTTTTCAATTCATGTTTTTACGTTTTCTAATCTGTAAAATTTTAAAACAAAAGCAATAATTCGGATCTGTTCCGTTTATAGTCTCACACTCTATTGTATTTATTTTTACAAAAAGACAGAGGCAGTTGATATTTTATAAGACATAAATTCGAACTTTAGGGATCAAGCTTCTTCTAGAGACTAAACTAATCACTGTGGCATTTTCTTTCCCTCGGTTGATACCAAAAAAACAAAAAAATTAATTATTAATAGTTCATTAACTAAGTCATGACTTTTTAATAAAGTGATTCTTGTTTTGCTAGGCGCAAGAAGTGCTAATGCACATTTTCAACTTGATTCGAAATTTAGTAGGGGGAGGGGACAGACAGACAGACAGACAGATATACCTGACAGAGTGAGTTAATACAACCTTTGTAAAACGTCTGTTAAAAATTATCTTACTTAAAGCAATCATTAATACTTTGTAAAATATTTTTTTACACCTAATACACCAAAACGGTAGCTATTTATATTTTTTTCTCAAGGTTTGTAATAGACTAGCACAAAAATAAAATTAGGAACAATTATATTACTGTCCATTTCTTTTTTTTTTTTCAGATGTCAAGGGCGACAGTTCTGCACCATAAATGTCAGCAGCAAAGTGTTTGAGAACCCTTGTGCTAAATTTATTCAAAAACATTTAGAAATAAATTATAATTGTGGACACAAGTGATTGGCGAAGTTTTTATCCTATGACAAGTACACAGGCTTTGTGTCTGCACTTTTTCCAATATCGCCCTAGTTAGTATAGCACTGTAGAATTAAGACACCTTAGTGCAGTAAAGCAATAAGTTAGAAATGTCCTTTCGATATTATTATACATTTACTTCTTACAAACGTATTCAAAAGTGTGTTATGCACAGTGTAGAGATGGAATCCATGTGAATATATGCTTATACTTTATGTTATATATTAGCTTAACTTATTTATAAATATAAAAAGGTGTTGTGTGGACAATTTAGAGATGATAACCCTTTTTTTTTTTCGTATCAAAGACTTTTTGAGATTTCTTGTAATACTTTTTAACCGAAAACAGAGGGAACTCGACGTCATGACAAAGAGGGGGGGGGGCACTAGAAGAGGTTCCTTCTTTTAAGGACTAACAAACAATGGCTGCCTGGTCGTGCGGTATGCGTTCTGAACTGTCGTTTAAGTCATTTTGATGGTCCCGGGTTCATACCCTCCCAGCTGCCATTCTTTGTCCTGCGGAAAGTTTTAGACTTAAAAATTGGATTATCTTGGCTTCTAAAGGAACACCCGAAACATGTCAAACATTTAAAAAAAAAAGGTATTAAATTAAATGACCTCGTTTCATTTTATGTATGAGATTCCTATTGATTTTACGTGAGACGTCTACATATATTTAAAATGTAAAATGTCTTACATGTTTCGGATGTTCCTTCAGAGTTGAAGATAATTTACTTCCTAGTCCAAACCTTCTGCAGTACGGCGGGGGATGGGAGCGGGCAGGGTTTGAACCCTGGACCATCGATAAATCTGAACGACAGTCCAGCGCGCAAACCGCACGACCAGGCAGCCATCCTTTATTGGATCCTAGCGTTATTGGAAGAAAGGACCGCTCTAAATACGACTGAATGACACTCCAATCAGTTTGACGTCAGAACGGTCTAATTTCCCAAGACTGGTGTTCCATCCTTCTGATATTTTTTTGTTAAAAGTTAGATCGGTCAAGCTCATTACAAGCGTGCATGCCCTAATGCAAGGAATGTCTCTTGATTATCGGCTCGCCCAATCAATTTTCCCAAAGTTATTTAATCTGCGTTCTTACTAGGAGAAGTAGTGCTTTTGTGTAGATGTCAGGAATTTCTGAAGTAGCGCGAAGAACAGAACGCAGGATAACTCTTGGTGACGGAACATTGCTTACACCTTCTTAGACTGTATACTGCACTTTCCCCGAGCCCTTATTTCTGAGTAACTAGATGGGGCCTCGAACGTATTTTTTTTTTGGTTTGGATAGAGGTAGGGAGGCGTCACCAATAAAAGTTTGTGTTTATTTACATGTAAACTAATACTAGATCTGATATCTGTAGATATTTACAAAACGAAGGCCTACTTATATATACATGGCTTATTGTAAATATATATGTGAAAGAAAATCAAGATTTCTAAACACTGTATATCCGCTAAAAGATAAAAGCAGCATTTCCTTTTTGTAAACCTGTTTTGATTCTAATATTAGTTCCTTTTGTGTCACTTGAAATTTTAGTTTGACAATATAAGTGCCAGGTGACAGCCACTCCCACCTCTCTGAATAAGTAAACTTGCTTTTCAAAGATATCTCGCATTGAGTCCTGTTGATTCAACAAATAATGTTTTCTTAGCATTGATAACCCTCCAGAATTTAGATCTAACTAGCCAGATGTGACCCTCGGCCTGCTTCCTTAATTAGGATATTACTGATCTAGTGGAATAAATGTAGACCTACGTCTAACACGGAGAATGTCCCTTTTTTTAAAATTCTGCCAGGAGAAAATGTAAAACAAGGTTTACCTATTCAGTCGAAATATTACATATTTAAAACGGGTCTACCTGATTTGTCGAAAGTTTTGTTCTTTCATAAAGATGAATTCAGGTAATTTTTAAACAATTTTATGGTCCACCGGATGTAGGAAAGAAATTAAACTTACACTACGGTCTCTGAAATGATCCAAGAAACATTTTTGCCAAGTTTTATTCAGATTGGTCAAGCGGTTTTGATTTCTATGCGGGACATAGATACATATATAAATTTATACATACACCTAACTTTTAATTTTATATATTAGATTAATGGAATTTTATTCAATCTTTAAAGAAAAGTTTGAGTTGTACCCGAGGTTACGTACATCGTTTTTTGTTGTTTTTTTGTTATTTTTTTGGCAATTATATTCTTTCATTTTCCAATTACTACTTAAATATCTTTGACCAGTTCAAGTTATTGGGCTTTCCAAATGTCTGTTTTTGTTATTTATATTTTCTGATTGTGATTATTTACTGATATAAAAAAAGATATATTTGTATTTGTTTAAAAAATAATGACAACTATAAGCTGACAAGAAACATTGACACACAGGGACTTTACCTTTACCTATCCCTTAGTCTGTTGGACTGTTGTGGCACCAGGCAAGACTTGTCGACCGTCTTTCTCCATTCCTCCCTTTTTTTGCCTTGTTTAGAACCTCTCTCACGGGCAGGCCCGTCCATAGGGGCTACGGAACTACAAATCAAAATAAATAATGGCTTTAAATAGTCGATTGTAAATAATAAGAAAATACAAATAAAAAATAAACATTGACGCATAATTTTACATTTTAATGAATACTGGCTGTAATATTTCGGTTGTGTGATTATTTAGTATGTGATTTTTTAGTATGGAAACTAAGACATGGTGAAAACGTAGACTCTGACTTAACAGAACCAGTGGGTTCAGGGCTCGAATGCTAGTGAAGACTAGGATTTTTAATTTTTGGAATTTCAGTGCGCCTCGTTGTCTATCCATCAGTTGTGAAAAGTAAAGGTGGTTGGTCGTTCTACTGTCACATGACACACTCGTTAAGCGTAGGCCAGAGAAGCAGAACAGATGATCTTTAGATTATCTGCCCAATAGATAAGACGGTCTGAAAGGGGAACTTTACGATTTATTTGTTATTATTTTCTTAATAAAAATACATTTTGGTTAAAATACAATTATGTTACAACTTTTTATTGAATGAGTTATATATATAATTTTATATCTTTTAAAAATATTTTTATAGCGATGTTAAAAACAAAATGTAGTCTCATGACGATGTGATAACAATTAAAACATAAACATATATATTATTCTTTTTTCTTAATATTTTGATTTCAACGCAATTGTGTTACAGAAATAGGTGACCTTTACATCATCTGTCTCATAGATCGCAAGGTTTAAAAGAGAATTTTAATTTTTTTTTTCATCTGATGTTACTACTTTTTTTAAAATGAGTTATATATATATATTGTTACGTCTCTCCTACTATCCAGGCTCTCTTCACACTGCACCACACGACACAACGAACTTAAAGAACCTCACAACTCAGGGCTCCAAAGTAACAGTAACAGTTTTATATCAAATACATCGCAACAGGCAACAACATTAACACTGTCTTTACAAAAACCTAGTCTTGCTCCGCACTGACTTCACACACCGTGCTGGTTCTCGCCTCGTACTGGTCACATTGCGAGGCAACGTGAAGTGAAGTCTTTCTGACACACTCGCTCTTATATAGTGTCTCTACTGGCCTACTCGAACCTTTTTGACCACTCCAGTTGATCAGTTTCTCCGTGACTTGCGTGCGTAATATTTACGTCATTGGTCCTTGCCGAACTGGCGTGTACTGTCACTGGTCACGGTTGACCGCTCGTCCTGCGCTGGACTGTGGCGATTTGGGTAGGCTAAAAACACACGGCACTACCCCCATTTGTGTCACCACCAGGTTTACAACAATATATATGTATATATATTCTTTTTTCTTAATAAAATACTTTTCGATTGAAATGTAATTATGTTAAAACTTTTTTTGCAAATGAGTTTATATATGTTTTGTCGATTAATTAGTTATCTGGATTAAAGCTATACATATGTAACCGCATGTGTACAGCTAAAGATATTTTAAAAAATCATGAAAAGGTATTTTACATTTTTTAAAATTATTCGTTGCTGTAAATACTTGATCGAACAAAGGTCATATCGTCAAGTAATTAATTTTTTTTTTGTTTTGTCCATTTAATAAGTTATCTGGCATTAAAGTTATTTTTTTTTGTAATATTGTTATCGAGTGTGTGTGTTTCTATGGTGATGTTGAGAAGAGGTTAGTGATTGGTGGGTGGCTATGCAGTGTGAATGATGCAAGATAAGACGCATTGTCGTAAGTAGTCTTGGGTACGATAGATGGTTTCAGAATGCCAGAAAGTAAAGACGTCATTGTGAGCTGTTTTTTGTTTTTTTTTAATTAAACTATTACAATAACTCTATTTAGCCCCCCTCCCAGCTCACTAGTTCCTCCATTATGGTTCGATGATGCCCAGTTTTGTCATCCATGGGGCTGAGGGCTTTGCACTGGGGGTTAGTGCCTCCTCATGTGGCTGGTGACGCCTATGTGAGCCCGGAATGTTCGGCTGCACACTGGGAAGATTATTCCAGCTGGAGCTAGTGTCGTTGGCCTTGCTTTTTGTTTTCTTTGACGCTTTTCTTCTGCCAGCGTTGTTCTCTTTTTCTCAGCAATTTGTGCGCCAGTTTTCACAGCACGACGCCATGATGCTCTGTCATGTGCCTCTGTCTCCCAGGTGGCTGGGTCGATGCTGAACGCTTTTAGAGAAGCTTTGATGGTGTCCCTGAAACGTTTGCTTTGTCCGATTGTGAGCGCTTTCCTTCCTTTAATTTGCCATACATAAGTCGTTTAGGGATGCGGCTTTTTCCTAAAAATTTAGCGGTTGATGTATATCTCTGAGAAAAGAATTACTAGCTAGTTGGCCACACTGGAAAAAAACTCTAGTTTGAGCGTTATAATTTTTCAAAGTATTAATGTTAAAAATTTTAATTTGGCTTTAAATTGGAGTAAAAAAAAAACATAGCGTATTCAGTCATTGTGTACCGATAACTCAGTTGTTTTTTAAATTGAAAGTTGCTTAACGTTTATTAATAGATCATCTAAGCGTTGCTTATTTTTTAATATAAATGTAATATAGATAACGTCTAAATTCTAGTCTAAATCTAAACTAGACCCTAAGAGTTCAAAATCAGATACTGTAATGACGGTAGCAATAAATAGTTACTTTGTAATACAAAACTTTCGGTCAAAAAGCTGACAGGTGTCGAAATCATGAGTTCGATACCCAGTTTAATCCAAAATTTTAAATATTTTTTTTTAAAATTTGTTTTATTTTAAGTTGTGTAATGGAGGTATTGACTTTAAAAAAAAAAGAAAAGTATTTTTAAAATGTTTTTCTTGTTTCATCTCATGCCATATTTGTTATTGTAATAAAATTTATATATAGCTTTGTTCACAAAGAAGCTATTCAAGTTTTTTCAAGTTTTCTATTTTAAAATATTGTTTTAACCCTGCCATGCACACCGCCATATAAGCTAGTCCAGAAGGTGTGCATTATCAGACACTTAGACTGAGAAGAATGTTGACATTAAAAGATATCAAAGAATACACATCTCTACTGTATCTCTCTAGCAAGCATACACACATCTGTTATCTCTCTCTCTCTCTCTCTCTCTCTCTCTCTCATATATATGTATATATATATATATATATAATTATAAGGCTTGACCTCGAGTCCGAAGTAAAGTAGCAATTATACATAAAACACTGAACCATAATCTTCAAATACAAAAACAAAATTTAATACAATACTCAGAAAGAGACTAAGATAATGGCACATTCCTCATCTCATATGCTAGGACAAATTTGTACAAATACTCCTTCTTCCCTAGTGCTATTAGAGCATGGCATGGGTTGCCTAAGCTAGCCAGGAAAACCAGTGACTTGGCAGAATTTAAGTCATTGGTTAATATGCACGACGCGTAGAAAGTAATTATCTTCTTTTTTGAAGTAACGTCTGTATTATATAAGATAACATATATTCCAGCATTACCCACCAGGCACGACATTGTGCCGATGTGCCTAAAATCAAAATCAAACATTACCCATCGTGTTCGCCCGTTTATTTTTCACCAGTCTTAACATTGTTTTTTTTTTGGCATTTGACTCCCTCTCATTAAAATCTCTATGTGGCTCATGGCACCATGCCCTGGAAAACCACCTCAGCTAGCTGACAAAACTAAGTGAGGAGGTGGATTTACATGGCCCCACTTGGCGAAATGTCTTGTCGTCTCAAGTCACAGGTCAGGGCGGAAGAGTCCCAAACTGGACTGCAATGGCAACAAGTTTATGTGTCGTCTAAAGTCACCGGCCAGGGCGGAAGAGTCCCAAACTGGACTGTGATGGCAACAAGTTTATGTGTTGTCCAAAGTCACCGGCCAGGGCGGAAGAGTCCCAAACTGGGTTGCAATGGCGACACGTTTAGGACCAAGGCGAACCAGATAATTGGAGATACTCGCCTGTTGTCAGGCATGAAGCGGCATTGGCGCCTCCACACAAGTATTAACATTCGTTATACAACCATAAATTTAATTTTAAAAAAAGCAAACTATAACCTTACGATCATACCCATAAGTCCGCATGGCTCTCGAAGACCTTCCTTCGGGGAACAGAACCAGAAAAAGAAGAAGAGGCAGACCGAGAAAGCGTCGAAAGAAAACAATATAAAAGAATGGAAATTGAAAGAAATTCTATCCGAATCCTAAAGACAGAGAAGGAAGACGCTCCACGGATCATGTTTAAAGCCTCCTCTCTAAATGCCCCTGCCTAATCCACTTTAGGCAGACCCTACTTCCACTCCAGCCCAACATAACCAACACCCTGTACGGCAGTGCTGAACAACTGAAGAAAACTTTTTTTCCCTTGGCACAGTCTGCAAAAGAGCTCACAGCTCAGCAGCAATATAGTTGACTAGAAGAAGAAGAAGAAAGTTTAGAGCCCAATAGGTTCATCAGACTAAGGGATATGCAAAGGTAAAGGTTAATATTTATAGACCGAGAGAGACACTGGAAAACAGTGTAGAGAGAAATTAATATCAAAAGACAGATTGTGTACCTAGGACAGGGAGACACTTCGATAGACTACATAACGGCTATTCCAGCACTTCGACGAAGCAAACCCAAACAAACAAAATATAAAAACATCCTTTCAAAAAAAAAAAAAAAAAAAGCTTATCTAAAAGGGGGAGAACTGCGCCGTTCAAACTATATCTATTAATAATGTAAAAGTTATTTCCCTTTTTCGATATCAAAATAATTAATTACCAATAATTAATTGACTAATTGGGTATAATAATTTTTAACTGCTCCCATTGGGAGAAAAGACGCTATTCGTTAGTGTGGAATGTCTGTCCGTCCATCCGTCCGTCCAATTGAGATATCGTAAACTAGAAATGATAGTGAAAATCCATCATAATATTTTAGACCATTCATAGTTCTGATGCAACGGCTAATTTATTCTTTTCTGAAAGCAAGAAATCACCCATTTAAGCAGTCATTTTGCATAAAAATACACCACTTTTACAACTATTCACTATTAATAGTAGCAAACACAGAATGTTCTCTATTAGTAAACATTACAGTATTTTTTTTGTCAAAATTGTTTTTGTTTTTTTTTACATTTGTATTTCTAATTTAAAATGTTCTGTCATACTAACTACTACATTGACACACAAAAATGTTTACTTTTTTAAAAAAGAGGAAAAAAAAACGATTTAGTATGCATATAAGTTGTGACATAATTTTAAAAAATTAATAGGTAGATGTTCAAAAAACGTCCATAGAACAATGAACAAAGTGGATAACCTTTTTTTTTTTAAAGTGTTTTTTTTTTTGAGGAATAAGAGGTTGACCCTTCAAAAAACAATTAGAGCAATTATACATTCATCATAAGACATTAGTTAGGCCAGGTTCATATCTAGCTTCACTTTCAACTACCTTTTGGTTTGCTGGACCACTGGGGCACCACACAAGATCTGTCAACCTTCTTTCTCCATTCTTCTCTGTCATTTGTCTATGAAAGAATTTCATTCTGATATTCTTTCTGAAAAAAATTGAAACCCGCCTTTTTACCTGCCTGGGTGGACCACTTCGGGGACTGATTTTGAGTTTGTGTTTCCACACACACTGTCTTTGTAACCTTGTTTGTTTATTGATTCATGTTTTGTTAGGTACAATAAACAATGGTGTAAAGTATTAACCAGATCGAAGAATGCGTGCGGGGAAAATAAAGAGATTCTTGTGTTGTCAGGTAAAATAAATAATTTCAAGATTGGGTGTCGGAGAAATAACGTGTACACATTTATACCATATAGACAGACAAATAGAGTAAGCTTTGTAATTAAAGTTACATTTATGTTTTATTAAAAGTTCAAATTTTATTCAAATTCGACCTTCCTAATCCTACAACTATTTAGTTTTAACAGCTTGTACTACAAATCAACGACCGTATATTCACACCTGGTAATGGTCAGCATATCCACGACCATGGACTATCTTGATAATAATGTCAAGATTACTATAAAAGAAATTTCCTACCAGTTACTAACTTTGTAATTCTACCATCATCTTTTAATAAATGTTTCATTTTTAGTTTACTTAGGTACGTATTATTATAAATAATGTCTAGAAATGGTTAGGCTCTTTACAACAGCATACGATAATGTGTTTTCCCAAATTGAATTCAACTTAGAATTAAGTTCGCTTAGCTTCTAACTAAAAGCAATGACTTGACCAATAATTTGTAATCAATAACATCTGGGATCCTTATCAGTGGCAGGTAATGTTGTAATTCATTTGAATTTATTGGCACCAACGATTTTTAGCTGATATCTCAGGTCAGGGTGAATTCATGTCATAAATTTGTCATGTATAATGAAAATATAAAGTTGTTGCTTGGTCGTTGGTTTGTAGCTCCAAGCATCTAGTAAAACTAAACCGTTGTATGCGTTTAGTATTAAATTCTTAGTAAAATAAGTTTGAAATAAACCTGATTTAAACTTAATCATAACTGTTATTTACAAATATTCATAGAATCAACTTGAAAGTAGATTAGAATCTATAGATAAACAAGACATACTCACTACAAAAACACTTTCATCCCATTATGTCGGACCAGATCATGGCCTACAGCACTGAAAGCAAATCTCTCCTTTCTTTGTCGTTACCTTGGAAACACACACATACACTAAGTCACTTCAAAATACTTCGGATGTAAAAGATCAACCTATTTTAAATAAGTTAACAAAGCAGTTTCCTGTCAATCGCTAGTAAGTAAAAAGTAAAGTAACCGTTTCAGACCTTGCGACCTATGGGGCAACTGATATTCTTCTTCTTCTAGCCA